GGGGGCCAGCCCTTGGCAGGGGCGGCCAGGCAACCACAAGCAGCGAGTTCAAGTGTGTTTTGGCTGGAGAATGTCCTGGCCTCGTGTGTTGCTTTTCCCAGGCGGGAATTATGAAACCAAGCTTCCTGTTCTCCTCCTTCCTCTTTCCTTCCTTCCTCCCTACACTCCTTCTCTCCCTCCCTCCTTCTTTCCCTTCTTCCCTCCTTCCCTCCTTCCTTCCTATAACAGATGTTTCTATTGAGCCAGGCTCTGGGGCTCTTCACTGAGCAAAACAGGCAAGAATCTCTGCTCACACGGAGCTGACGGTCTGGGGGCGACGTCCAAACAGGCAGTACGTCTACATACTGTAAAGTATGTAAGATGGTTTGTACCGGAGGGGAGTGTATTACGGAGCTGCGAAGGGGTGGGTTAGGATCTGGTTGACATCTGCCAGCACAGAGTCGGGCCCAGAGGAGGTGTCACTGTAATAAAGGAATACCATCTTCCACGTGACGGTCTCATGACCCACAGGTGCTGAGGGAGACCATCCTGGAAGGCCCACATCAAGTGAGAGTGTGGGCAGGTGCAAGGACAGGGAACCATGTCAGTGACATGAATGGCAGGGGATGACCACCCCAATTCCAGAGGGACGGCTAGTCTTCAGGGGGACTGAAGAAGGGCCCTGAAGGAGACCAGGGTCAGCAGGGGTCACGGAGAGTCAGCCAATCAGGAAAGGGCTTTTTTTTTTTTTTTAAGAATTGTTTTATTTAATGTTACTTATCATTGTTATTTATTTATTTTAATTTGAGCAAAGAGAGTCACAGAGAGAGGGAAAGTGACAAAGCAGGCTGCCAGGTCCAGGACTCGAACCACATTCAGCCATGTGGGAGTCCAGCACCCCAAGTACTACACCATCCGCTGGCCCCTCTAAGCAGAGGGAGCAGCACTGACACAGTCTCAGAGGTGCAGGAGGGTGGCTCAGTGGTTAGTTCCCTGGGCAAGATGCACACAAGAGGGAGGGTATGGGATGGCAGGTGGGGTGGGTCCTCTGCAGGGCGGGGCCACACGCAGCTCACTCGTCTCCACATCCTGCCCCAGCACCTCCCTTTGATGGGTGGAGCCTCACAATAATCACCTAGACATAAGTGCTTCCTGTGGAGCCACCTCGGACCAGGTGCCCACAGCCGAGCCTTTCTCCCCCTTAAGCAGGCCAGGAGGCGTTAGTTCCCCCAGATCCAATGGCAGAGATGAGACCTGAGTGTCCCGTGTTACCCAGGACCCCAAACTGTCCTGCCCTTGGCCCCCTACCCAGGTCTGTGTAAGCCTCTCCTGTCCAAGGACAGACCTCTTGCCCATCAGCATCTGTATCCTTCCGCCAGGGGACTGCTGGTTTGGGAGGGTGTGGACTGAGCTCCGAGGAGCCAGGTGGGAATCCACACGTACACACGTCACGCTCCAGCATAGAACTCTGAAATCATGATTCTGAAGTCGAGCTGGCCTTCCCGCTCCCTGTGAAGGAATATTTGTCAAGGCAGTTGCTATAGCAGGTTGCTCCATGTGTAACTTTGAATGGGATCATCAGGAAACTCATGACGCATTTTTGTACAGAAAACCAGAAAAATGTGTCATGACTTTCCCAACGACCTAATAGAAATTTGGATGCATAGGGGGTGCTTCCATTTATACTCTGGCCCTGGGTCCTACAACGGTCCAGGAAAGGCCACGCTGGGGCCAGCAGAGTCTGGAGGGAGTTCCCGGGATGGGAGGAGGGAGGGTGTCCACAGGCTCTCAAGCCCCTGTTCAGAACCACCAGGGGCGGAGGGGGATTTAGGAAAAAACACCTTCCTGTCACTCCCACCAGCAGCGTGGGCAGACCAAGTCCAAAGTATTGAACAGAGCCGAGGTAGCAGATGCTGTGGGCCCCAGAGGAGGTCCCAGGCCCAGGGATGGGGCTGAGGGAGAGTGCCCCCAAGGGGTGGAAGCCAGGTGGCCCTTAATAAGGATGAAGTCAGGCACCCTGCTAAACATGTGGCATGTCACTCCTTCATCTTCCCAGCTACCTCCCTCATCTGGGGCAAGTCAGCTGAGCTCCAGAGAGGTGGAATGGCTTGATCAAGGCCACACAGCAAAGCTGGGTTTGGGATCTGTCTATGGGACTCTGCAGCTGTGCTGTGGGGTGCTGCCCAGTAAGTGGTTCTGGAAGGAGCAGTTCACATAAACCAAGAGACGTTGGGTGGGCATTGCCACAGGTAGGGGCAGGGCAAGCATGAGCAAAGGCCAGAGGGAGATGAGGGGAGGGTGGATGTGGGCGGGCTGGGAAGCATTGTCACAGGAGCCTGGCAGCTGCCAGTGCTGGATAGTGGAGGGCCCTGAACACTGGCGGAGGAGACCCAGCTTTCAGGGCCTCCATCGGCCTGGCCTCTCCCTTCCCTCTGAATGTAGAATGAACTTTCTGAAGTGAAGCCTGTGGCACTCCTGCCTTGCTCATGAATCTGCAGTGGGTCCCCTGGTCTTTCCCCAAGCCTGGGCTCTGCTACCTGGTGCTGTCACCTGGGCCCAGGTCCTCCTGCCTGCCTCCTGCACACACTGCAGCTCTGGCCTGAGGAGCCAGCCGGAGTTTCTCCCTGTCCAGCCTCCTCTGTCCAGCCTGTGGGTGCTGGCTTTGGGAAGGGGCTGGGGTGCATTCCAGCACGTGCAGCCCAGTGGGAGCCCTGCTTGTGGTTTGGTGCAGACTCTGCGGACACTTCATCCTCTGACTCTGCAGCCGAGGGGACGGGTGGGCATATCTGGTACTTGGTTCTGGCCTGCACCACGAGGGGCTTTGTATGCATATGTCGGTGTCCCCCACCTGCACTGTTAAGCTCAGTCTACAGAGCCAAAAACTCAGAATGTGTAAATAGGGGCGAGATGGCGGTGCACCTCTCAAACCTGACCAGCATAGGAAGGTTCTGGATTCATGTCCGGTGACTTATCTGAGTGTACAGCACACCTGTGTGCTCACGGTCCAGGGCTGGCTGAAGAGGGGGTGGATCACAGTGTCACCACCCTTATAGAGCTTCTGTCTCTGCTTCTCTCACTCTCACTCATGGGAGGAATAAATGAATAGTCTTTTTAAAAAATGAAAAGATGAAATAATCACCCAGAGTCTCCAGTCACCCTCCTCTGCACTGGGGGAGCTCCTGGGTCCTCTCCTGCCTGGGGCTGGCAAGGGCACTCCCTGCCTCTCACTCAACCCCATGGGGCTAATGAGGGAGAATTAGCACAGGTCCACTCCCCCCTCACCTCACCTCATCCACTTCGCCCCTCCCTTGGCATCCTCTGCTCTGCATTCTCCTGCCACACTCAGGGCACACCCTGCCACTCTCCGGGTGGGAGCAGCACACACTCCCCTCCTGTGGCTGTGTCCAGATCAAACACATTCTTCTCAAATGCCATCTGGCTCCCTGCTGTACGTGTGTGTGAGTGTGCAAGTGTGTGCACATGAATGTGAGTGTGCTAGCATGTCCAAGTGTGCACCTGCACCAGTATGTGTACACTTGTATACCTGTATGGTTGACTGTGTGTGGGTCTGTGTATGTACATACCTGCTGTAGTGTGTACACATATGTGCACCCACAGTCAGTGTAGCATGCACATGTGTGTGCCCATGCCAGTGCAATGGAATACAGAAGGGACCAACACCACTTCAGTAACACCTTCCCTTGCAGGGCCCCTCCCCTAGGGTCCGTGTTGTCCCCAAGGCATTGACCTGTGACTGAACTCTCGCTCTGTGG